AAGTGTTAATTTGCTTTAACTTGAATAATTTTAGAGGCAATTAGCACAGTTGATTGAAGGAAGAAAGAAAATATAGGCTTGGCCCAAAAGAAAGAAAGAAATACTAGCGATTCAATTTGTAAGCCCGGCCCATCTGCTGTCCAGAGAATTTATTAAACCCTCAAAATACGTCATCGTTTCATACACCGTCCCCTAGATATCCAGAAAGCCAGTACCAGAACAGGGTCCACTAGGGTGCTGTAGGAGAAGCGAAAATGGCAGCCATGGCTGCACTGCAGAGCTCAATGAGCGCTCTTTCTCTCTCCTCAAGCTCTTTCTTCGGCCAACGCCTCTCTCCGCCTCCTCTCTTCCCTTTTCCGGTAAGTTTTCCTCATTCATCTATTCAATTTCTGGTTCCCTTCTCACTCTAATTCAAAGTCTCAATTAGGTCCTGTTTCCATTTTATGCTTATTCGTAGGCCGTATCGAAATGCTTCTTTGGCGTAATTTGATTGTAATTTGTTTAAAAGAACTCATTTTGTGTCCTTATTTCTTGCATAAAGTTACTTTTCAATTACTATATGAAATGGGTATTGTTTTTGTTGGCTATGAAGTTGATATCTTTTCTTTTCTTGAGTTGGAATTCGGTTTTTAATGAGATAGAGATATATGTTGTTTGGCATTGTCAAGTTTGAGCTAATTCTCTTTGAATGAGATACAATGCTTTGATTTCTTTACAAGAGTAACAACGTGTTCTTAGCTGATTTCTGAACTTTAGAGTGCTGGTCCAGATTGGAAGATTGAGATTTTGATGGTGCTTCATTTCCATGTCGTTAATTCTAATTTTAATTTGTTTCATGGCTACTCATTAATGAGGAGAAGGTACTTGTTAAATATTTGTAACAATGTTCAAATCTTGAGACGGGTGGGAAGGGATTTGGGAAGAGAAGGGCTATCTCTTGTGGTATGGTTCATCATCCGACATGCTAAAAAGAGAAAAAAAAAAATCGTAACAATGATGTGGTTTTAATCTCTGTGCACGCAGGTAAAGTCAAGGCAGAACCGATGTCTCATTGTAATGAAGGTGCGTGTTATTGTTCTTCCTTTTTTTTCATGTCACATCACAACTATCTTATTTTTTTCAAAAATTTGGAAAAAAAATTTTGAGAGTAGAATTAGTGGTGGTGCTTGATTACGAATTAAGATTTCCCAGAATCTCTGTAATTTGTTCTGCCCTTTATAAAGTTTTTGGTAGTTACTACCAGAATACCTGCCTCCTTAACTGTGTCGCTGGACTTTGCCAGGGGGAGTATTTGATTTGTTCTATTGATGAATGGAAGAAAGATGGTTTCTTATAAGTTCTAGATTGCCCAGATTCGATTCTCTTGTCTATTCATATCAATGATTAAAAGTAATGGCTTAACAAACGCTCAAACAGGCTAGTAAGATGAATTAAGCTCCATAAGTTGTGGCTTATCATCAGTGTTTGTTGTATCATGTCATGCAAGGTAGTTGTTTAATGATATTTAGAGTGGTCCTGTTGCAGCTTAAAAGATGGGAGCGGAAGGAATGTAAGCTGAACAGCCTTCCAGTTCTACATAAAATGCATGTGAAGGTAGGAGATATGGTTCAAGTAATATCTGGGCGTGATAGGGGTAAAATTGGAGAGATTACAGAGATTTTTAAGCACAACAGCACTGTCATAGTGAAAGATATAAACTTGAAGACGAAGCATCAGAAGAGCAAAGAAGAGAGTGAACCAGGGCAGATAACTAAGGTTGGTTAGTACTCTCTCCTTCTGTTCTCCATAATTGGTCCCTTTTACTTCAAAATTTTAATATTTTTATGCTTCTACTTGTACATTACCTTAGAGGGTGCACATGACATATTTGACATGATATTAGGATTCATGTATAAAACCATCTTGTATGTTGATTTATACATTTCTTTCCCTTCATTATTTCAAAATTTTCATGGTGTGGATATGACGACTACAAGACTCAGTTTTTTTTTTTTTTTTTCTTTAATAAGAATGTGATCTGTTGGTACATTGTTTATCCTTTCCCTTGTTAGCATGCATGTTTTCTCATTTACTTGTTCCTAAAGCTTTAAATCTCATATCCCAGATCGAAGCACCTATTCACAGCTCAAATGTGATGCTCTATTCCAAAGAACAAAACGTAGCAAGCCGTGTGGGTCATAAAGTGCTAGATAATGGTAAAAGAGTCCGCTACCTCATAAAGACTGGAGAAATAATGGACAGTGAAGATAATTGGAAGAAATTGAAGGAAGCCAAAAGAGAAAAAACTGAAGTCGCTTTAACTTCAAAGTAACTCAGCGCCTGTCCTCACTGCAATGTACTTTATGTAATCCTTATCCCAATGTCCCTACAATCTTCCATCATTGCTTATCAATTACAGTAAACATCTTGAAATAATCTTGTTGTTAACCTAGCTAAAGAGGAACGGTTTCAGGGGTGGTAAATATCTTTGAATGGTCAGTAATTGTCATATGAAAAAGATCAATGTGTAGAATCAAGCATGAAGCTTTGTTTTATAATTGCAGCATGTTCTCTTGCTTTTGAGTCTCAATTTGAGTCACCTATATGATTTGATCTCAATGTGTGGACACAGAACACAAGTTGTGGCTTAACTTTTGGCCTACGGAAGAACCCGCAATTATGTACCTCGAGATGCAATGTTGATAAGGGTGTGTTTTCAATCTTCTAGCTTAAATGACTGATCTTTGATGTTTCATGAACACATTTTGCCCGTTTGTTGTCTTTCTTTTCAGACATCTCTCCCCTTTCCCTTCCTTTCATGTTTCAATCAAACATCATTTTCATTTTTTCAGCCAACAAAGTACTTCTCTGATTACTTACGGAAAATGATGATTTGTTGGTTGAGGGTTCATTGAAGATTGAATTGAAGATGCATGTGAGTGGCAACTGTAAAGTGTTGGAAAATGTAAAAGGTTCAGTAGCGCTTGTGATGTATGTACTAACGCAAAAGTGTTTTCCCAGTCTGCCTAAAAATGGGGAAAACTGTTAGTCATGTGTGAAAAGACTTGAAAAGACTAAAATGGCATAAGGGATAGCTGAACTCTCAAATTTGCCCCCAAATAAGGTTGTAAAGACAAATTTACCCTTAAAAATAAGTGAGGTTAAATTTTTCATTTAAATTGTTAATTAAAATAAATAACTTATTATTTAGCGTATAAGATCATCATATATCATGAATTCATTCACCACTTAAGTTTGTTTTTATAAAAAATTGACGTATAATGATATTATCATGCATTTAATAATAAGTAATTTATTTTAGTGCACAATTTATAAAGACAAGTTGTCTTTTCTTAAAAAATAATAATAATAAAGATCTGTCCTTAGTTTCCTAAGGTGGATTTTGGGATTCATTAATAATATTTTATTTTTTTACAAACAACTAAGATTAATTTCATTTTTTAGATTCATTAATAATATTTTAATTTTTTTACAAACAAATAAGACTGATGTTATTTTTTTGTCAAAGTAGATAGTAAAACTTCATTCTCTTCTACGAATTAGTAAATTAATTACCTGCCAAAATAGTTCTTATATATATCGGGTCATCTTTCAATTCTCTTGATTAAGTAACTAAGTTACTTGTATATCAAAACAAAAAAAGTTTTTTTACAATTTAAATTATATGGTCTATATTAAACTACAAAATATTAATAATTAAATTAAAAAGGAGCTTTTAATATTGGGAAATAACCTTCCAGCTAATATTTTACAGTTCCGAATTCAAATGAAAGAGTTCATTATTTAATACTCCTTTCATACAACATTTTTTTATTTAAAATTTGTTTTAGAATAATAGTCATTTTTCCTTGATTTAAAGGGAAAAAATATTTTTTTTTTTTTTTACTTTTAACCTTAAGGAATACTGCTTATCAGCCTTATCTCCTAAAGATTAGAAGGAAAAGTATTTCAAAACTATGTAATTTTAATAAAGTACTATAGAAAATGATAAAAAACACTTTAATTCATACTTTAAAAATATGTGTTTTAGTCTTTTTCAATTGAGATTTATTGAAACGACGTAGTTTTGGGATGATTTTCCTCGTAATCTTTAAAAGGTAAGGTTAACAGGCAGTATTCCCTTAACATTATTATTATCTTTTAACTTTAATTACCCATCATCTAATTGAAATAGTTATTTATTTTTATTTATTTTTTAAGGGTAAAATAAATAAAAATAAAAATTATCTCTAAATCTTTAATCTAAAGATAAAATGAAAAAAATATCTATTTTGATACAAATAGAGTATTTATTTATTTATTTATTTATTTGAAATTTTTTATAAGGTAAGAAAATTGTCATATACAACCCACATTTGAAAGCTAATTATTGCCATCATCAAATTGTTATATGCAAAGAGTTGTAGATGCAATTATTGTGAATAAGACAGTTTCAAGAACTTTTTTTAAGGATAATAGTCTTCACCTCTCTGCAGGAAACATTATCCCCATGATACAATGCCCACTAAAATGAACTTTAATCACCCAACTAATATACTGAAACTTTAAAGCAAAGTGCAAAAATTCAAGGAAGGAGATGAAGAAACCTCAAAGTTTTTCTAGAATTATTAACCTGTTTTTTTTTTTTTTTTGGGGACTGTATTATTTATTTATAATTCTCAACTGATGTCTTTTACATCAGTGTAAAATAAATACACTCTTTAAGAATCAAAACTCTTCGATATATGATATTTATATTAGATAATATTTCAAACTTTTTGCCCATTTAAGACAATTTTCTCCAACTCAAATTCAACTTTCAACCGGCAGATAAAGCAGTTACCAAATAGGTTTCAACAACTCCTTATCTTTATCTTTTTGTTATTTTTCCTTGTCTGACACTGCCCCTTGTTTCAAGCTTTTAAACAGTACCCGCATCACATGCATCCCTTAAAGTTGTGAACTGTATATATATATATAATAAAATATTATATAATATAAATAATAAATATATTATTAAAAAATACCTAATTATATATGCAATACAAATATGCTTACAATATGCTTGGATTGAAAAAATAAAAAGAAAGGGAGGGGAGGGAAGGAGAAAATTTTTCTTTATTTTTTATTTTTCTTTTAATTTAGTTACTTATTTAAACAAGGAAAAAGGAAAGAAGCCAAATGGAAGGATATAATTCCCATTCCCTTCATTCTCTTTAATCTAAACATAAGTTAAAGGAACCAATATTTTAGATTTTTTTAACTAATATCTAAAAATATCAATTTATTGATTGATTTTAATTTATTAACTAGTAAATATAAATTGTTTTATTAATTATTAATAAATATGTATAATTATTAATTATTTTTAT